TTACCGGGGGCATATGAGTGACTTCCCCTACGTAAAGCGATTGAGCCCACTTCTTTCGCTGGCTGGTGGAATCGCCCCCTGTATTGCCACCGGTGATCATGAGGATGTGGCGTTTTTTCTCCTGGTAGTGGGGGTATTCCTCCTCCTCTTCTTCCAAATTCCCAATCTCCCTCTTCTTGCCGAGGGGGATGGTATTCGTGTTTACCCAAGCGTTCACCTTCGCGTGGTGCCCTCGGGGAGGCCCCTGATGAGAAGGTCCCTCCTGCCGAGGGCTCTGAACAAATTGGGACAGGTGCCCCGCTTGTATTAACCTCTCGATGGCCGTCTTTAGCTGATGGCAGTCATCGGTCCTGTGCCCCTGGTGCCGATGGAAGCGACAGTATGGGAACTGAGGGTTCATAGCATGTACCTCTGGGGGTGCGCGAGAGTCGCGCTCAACAAGGCCCCTCTCCTCGGCAAAATCGAGGATGATGCTGACGGGGTGCGTCAATGGTGTCCGAGGGCGGTCCAGGAGAATGGGCTGGGCCCAAGTCTTAGGGTTGCTCTTATAACCTTCCCCGGGCTTGGCTTGGCCTTGCCGAGGGCGGTCATCAGAGGGTCCCGAAGCCTTGGGGTGATTTGGAGGAGCCCCCGGCCCTCGGCTATGCTTGTTGTCAGCCCTCGGGGGATGCTGGTCCGGATGCTGGTGATACTTCTCCACCTCCTCGGCCTCAGCATATCGGTCCCCCCGCTGCAAAGCCCTTATGTAGTCGCGGGGGGGTTCAATGATGAGGCTCCTTGAAAAGTTGCTGGTGCGGAGGTCGGTTTGTAGGAGGGCCAGGAGGGTCCCGTCATCAGCACCGTCGACCTTGTCGGCCTCCGTCATCCAGCGCTCTAGGAAATCCCGAAGGGTCTCATCCTTCTTCTGGCGTATTGTTAGGAGGTGGGAGAAGTGCTTCCTTGTGCGACGCCTCCCGGCAAATTGTGTCAAGAATCGTTGGGCGAGTTCTTGCCACGAATCAATGCAGCCCTCGGGCAGCCTGTTGAACCATTCGTATGCCGGTCCCTCTAAGGTGGAGAGGAACCAACGACACAAATATTCGTCTGACGCTCCTACCATCATCATGTTGTTCTGGTATTTGCTGTAATGTTCCTGGGGATCCGTCTTCCCGTTGTAGGGCTGTATGTGTTGCCCTCGGTATTTCTCCGGGATCCGGGCCACCAATACCCTTGGGGTAAATGGCGTCCGAGTCCGGAGCTGGATGACGGGTTCCCCGGAGCCCTCGGCCACCTTCTTCTGTAATTCCTCCATTTTGGCCATCATGGCCTCGTATTTGAGGTCTGAGTGAGGGGTGGAGGTGGTGGCGTGAGCTTTGTTGGACTCCATCTCGTCAAGCCGGCGTTGGAGGGCCGCAATAATCTCGTCCCGGGGATCCTTCGGGAGGGTCTCCGCCCCCTGCGAACGAACCCGGGCCGAGTGGGCCTGGTTGATCTGGTGGCGAGCGTCATCGGCATGAAGGGGTGCCTTGCCTTTGTCCTGAGGGGGACGCTCCTCGTCTGCCCTCGAAACAGATCCCCCGCTTTCCTGGGGCCTTTGGAGTGCTTTCCCCCCTCGGCGGTCTTGGACCCCTCGGCGGTCTGGCCCTCCTCCGAGCCGGTTGAGGGCGGAAGTACGGGGCCTTTCCCTGCTGTCATTATGGCGGTCCTGGGACTGAACTTCCTGGGAGGACGTATCTTGGGCCACCACCCCTTCGTCGTTTCTCACCCGAGGGGTGGGATTTCCGAAGGGGTGTGGCAGAGGGGGAAGTATGATATTTTCCCCGATCTGGGGGTGAGCCGGAGCCAGGGTGCCGAAGGCACCCGGGTTCTGAGTGGGCGTCTGGATGAAGGCGGAGAGCGCCGATTGCACGTCGATGGTGAGAACCGGAGGGCTGACTTGGTCATCGCTCCGGTTTTTCTTCTTGGCCTCGATGTCGAGGCGGGCATCGGGGGCATTTTGTTGGATCTGAATGCGTAGGTCGACAGCCGCCTGTTCCAGCCCAGCGATGACACCGCCCTCGGGAGCCCTGTGAGAGGCTTCGGGGGCGTTGACGTCGCCGAGGGCCAGGTTCTTGTCTTCTACGTTTTTTGAGTTGGCACGTGTTGTTCTCACCATTTTGATAGAGGGCTAGTGTTTTGTGTTTGGTCGAGGGGGAGGGTTTCTTACTTGATTGTTCGACCTCTCAACGAGAGCACCAAATGATGGATAGTCTACCCGGGGGTATATATCCGAAGGGTTATTACGGGGAATAACTTAGAGAGAAGTCAGAGCAAGTAAGTAAAAGTAGAGAGAGAGTGTATTCAGTATGAATGCCGTTTTCAGCGTGGTTACAAATGGGGAAATGAGGTGCTATTTATAGTAGCAATAAATGCCGGGCAGGGACACGTGTCAAGCGCTAATTGGCCGAGGGGTCACCTCAACTGGTTGGCGCTGGCAGCCGCATGTGGCCGCATTTAATGCGGCTGTTGGATGGGACGTCTGTGCAGGGTACGGTGATCTGTACGCATGTGAGGCGGATATCTTGTCGAGTGAGATGCCTTCGGCCATAGAGCAGTAGCCGAGGGCTCCTCCAACCGATGGCACCCTGGTGCCGAGGGCTCACAGTGCCGAGGGCTACTGTTTTCGCCGTTTTCTCCCAGTTTCTTAATTTGCTTGAGAAACCCGTTCTGCGAGAGTTTAGAGCCTTCGGCCAGGGGGCCGAAGGCACCCCTGGCGCGAATTGTGGGCTGCTTGGTACTCTGGGCGCTGTGATTTGGGCCTGTTGGACCTTCTGGGCCTGTTGGGCCTCTAAAGGAGTAGTAGGAGTCTGTGGGCCGGGTGTTCCCGGGGCATATACTCCATCACCAGACTTAAACAGATCAGATCAACAAATTTTAATCTAAAAGAAAACATCCTCAATCTTTAACGTTGATTTAGTGACAAATTCACTAACATTGAACTTAAACTCTTAAAGTACGATGATAGGTGGAGTAAGTGGATCCCTATTTTGATGTGCCATCACTAAAGTGAATAATTCCAACACACTTGCTATGTACTCTACATAATTTAGGTTTCTCCAATTACAATAAAATTAATATTTCTTTGTTGTGATTACTTTCGTTATATGGCAATCTGTTCATCTACAATGGTGGAGCATAAGTGATGTAGTTTTTCTGATCCACCCCAAAGATATAGAATATACTTGGTCAATATTAGACACTACTTCATATTTCTAAGGATATCTTGTGAAGGATATCTCAATCTTTCACTTTCTATCCATCAAATTAAGATCGTTACATAAAAAATTTGAAGATGTTTTTGTGATTCTACATCGTTTTTAGTTTATTCAACTCTTTTTTTATCAATTCAATATCAATCTCGTGAACTCACTTTTAATAACTGCACCACATTCTCGAAAACCAAATTTAGCGGGACAGGTACAATAGAGCATATCAAACCGTTTGTTGGGAGGATTTATTAGACTGTAATCAGTTTAATTATATTAATAGAGTGAGATGTGCACATGTTATTTAGACAGATCCTCTGAGTAACATTGACATCTAACCTAGTTGTCAATAATAATGGACTAATTTGGTTGTTATCATTAACGAAGATAGCTATGGGCTAAGTACAAATATTTACTTCGTATAATGTAAAAAGTCTATTGGGATACGAAGATTTGTCCTCCTAATGTTAAATTATACTCCCTCCGTCCCGGTCATTTCTTCCGGTTTTGACCAGTATCGCAAATTTAGGTAGTGGGAATAAAGTGAAAATGTATGGTTGTAGTTGTGTAAGAAAAAGGTGAATGAATGTGAACCACATATTTTTTCCAAAAGTGGAAGTTGGAAGAATTAATTGGGACGGCCCAAAAAGGAAAGTTGGAAGAAATGACCAGGACGGAGGGAGTAAATCTCAGGCATTTCTAATATTGTGCTCCTTCTCTACTATTAATTGCTTAATCGAAAGAGACTTGTCACAAATTGAGGAAAAGTGTAATATTTTGGGGGTGTTAATGTTTTATTATTATCTAGCTCAAGTTTCTTAAACTTTTACAAAGTAATGATTTCATCATTTATCCTTATTCTATGAAAAATCGGATAAAAATTACTTATTTTTTAAATTGAAATGTCCTGAATACACTTTATATACGAGTCCATATAAGTTTCATCGAGTCCATATCAGGACCAGTGAAAAGAAATTGCGTTTAGTCGAGATTTTTGTAAAAACATACTCCGTATTAGGCAACGTGTTAGACAAAAATATTGTCTTCGTGACACTACAAAGGCTGCTAATTGCAGTGAGTAAGGCTGTAAACAATACCTATATCTATCATGACGCAACAATTTAATAGTTGGATTAAAATATAGTTGGATTGAAATATGAAATCTAGATTATTTCAAAATCACAATTAATATAGGACCCACAAAAAACATGCTAATTATTTTGGGATTATAATAATATATCATAAAAGAATCTGTTTATTTAAGGGAGTATTCCTAGGCATCATATTGTTGCCATTAAAGCAAGAGTTTAGGGTTTAAACATTTTAAATGATATTGGACTTTGCACCAAACATTTTAAATGATATTGGACTTTGCACCCTATTTTAATTTTTTTTTTATTTTGCATCCCATTTCACTTCAAAATCCTTTGATTTTGCACCGCATTTTAAAATTTTACTTAACACGTGTTATATGATAAGATGCAAAGACAAAAGTTTTTTAAAAAGAGGTGCAAAATCCAATATCACCTAAAGTAATGTGCAAATTCAAATTTTCCCTTCTATTTTTAGTTCTTCGAAGGTGCATAAGTACGAATTCTAATGCGCAAAGTACAATACTTATCATCATCGTCATTTCCTTCATGACTTCTGGGATTAACCTGTTTTAACCATTTTTACTGTTCGATCGCCTCTTCTTACAGCTCTCCCACGCACACGCTTTAGTTTTTCCCTCAATTCAGTCTGATTGAATTTCCGAGTGCGTATATTTGTTCAACAGTCGGCCTCGAAAGACGACCCCACCACCCTTTTTCAAAAAAGGCTCCGCTCATCCATTTTTTCCCAACATTTCAATCCTTTTCTTAAAGAGAATTGCTCTTAGTCCACGCATCCGTGATCAGCTGTACGCCACCACCGCCGTCGTTATCGCCCCAACTTTATACCTTCCGCTTCCGATCGTGTGGGTGTTTATTGGATTTTCTTGATCTTGATTTTTTTTTGCACAGCGAGTTTGCATTCCTGTTTGATGGCTTTCATAGAGGGCGAATTTCAGAACCCTAAGCCGGCGAAGGCCGCTTCGTATCTCAGTCGGTCCATGACGGTACATCACGGCGGCGGCGGATCTCTCGCCGTAAAGCCCCCCATCGAACGGGTGGTTTCCTTTAAGCAGCCGTTTCAAGGATCGTCCGCCTTAGATGCCATGGTCACCGTCGCTGGAAATTCTTTAAAGGGTAAAGTAAAAAAGCTGTGTTCTTTCTTCGAAAACAAGAAACCCTCTCGGCTGAACTCCCCTTCTCCGTCTCCATCTCCACCTCCACCTACGGCCGCTGTGAAGTCATTGAATTCGGGTTGTTTGCCCGGGACAGAGGACAGGGTTGTAATTTACTTCACTAGTCTCAGAGGAATCCGGAGAACCTTTGAGGATTGCTACACTGTGAGAATGATCCTGAAGAGCTACAGAGTGAATGTGGATGAGAGGGATATCTCCATGGACAGTGCTTACAAGAAGGAATTGCAGAGTGTGATAGGAGGGGAGAAGAGTGTGACTGTTCCTCAGGTTTTCATCAAAGGGAAACACATTGGGGGGGCAGAAGTGATAAAGCAAATGAACGAAGTAGGAGAGTTGGTTAGATTACTTAGAGGGCTGCCCGTGCGCCCGCCCGGATTCGTCTGTGAAGGATGTGGAGACGCAAGGTTCATCCCTTGCTCCAATTGCAGTGGAAGTCGGAAACTGTTTGATGAGAAAGACGGGCAGCTAAGGACATGCCCGGCGTGCAATGAGAATGGTCTCATTCGGTGTCCCATTTGCTGCCGTTCGTGAAATTGATGCATTCGTTCGTGATATTGATGCATTATACATCACCTGTGACGGTTCGTTTTCTCTTTTTGGTATCTGTAAAATTATATAGGTTTTGCATCAAATATTATTATATTATGTTATGCCGAGTTGATAATGTACATAGTACTTTGTGGGTGACAACTTGTTACCCAATGTTATATGTTAAAATTGAGATTAATGTTTGGAGTGGCACTTTGGTCTACAAGACTCTTAAGGACTATATTTGCTTCTGCTGCTCATTTTGTGCAGCTTGTGTAAATTATGAAAGGCTGTATAAAGAAAATAAAGAAAAGGAAAAAGATCACATTTTGATGCCCCATATCTTTATACGTAGTACTTCATATATGTTAAATTATATGCTTACCCAGTTTACATTCAAGTTTCCCTGATGGGTAGGAGCCTGTTTGGTTGATAAATGTACCGAAAGGAAAAGCTTTTGTTAGAAGGAATTCAAATAAGTAAACATCTGTTTATCTCCACCCAAATGGAGCCTGTATTTGCTTCTTATTAAAAAACTGCTACCCTACTATGCTAGAACTGTTCGTTCTAGTAATATTATGTTTGAGGAAGAAACTAGAAAGAATTGATAGAAATTTATATGTGGAAATTGAATATGTGAGTCTGCATTTGGGTAAGGCCCTCAAGGTTGTTAGCGCTTAACCTTTATTTTAAGGTAAAATACTACCCCATTATGCAAAGTAAAATTCTTTTTACTTACCTTTTTGGAATGTTACAATACCCATTTCTTTGTTTGGAAAGTTTGTGTTGCTATCATTCATTTATTTGTTTTTTACTCAACCATAACCATACATTTCCATTTTATTCTCACTTTCTTAAACTCTGATCCAAGTCAAACCGGGAAGAATTTTTTGGGATGGAGGAAGTATATTTTATTCTTCCACAATAACTATATATTGACTTGAGGCCAAGGGAGTGGTCTATGGGGTAGGATTCAATTATATACCACTTCAATATGGTATTCTCAAGTCCAACCTTTTCTAGACCTTTCATGTTTTGAGTGAATGTCCATCCTTTTTAGTTCAGATTGGCTATGATAACAAGATATTGATATGGATACATTTTTATTGTTTATCGAATGCTGTTCCATTTAATCATAAGTTAAATTTCTCCTTTGTGGACATTGAGACTATTGTGTTTACTGTGGGAAGTTTGAATTAGATATATCCTTCGTATTATATTATCTGATTGGCAACTTTGCAGTTTGTCCCTTTCTGCAAGTACAAAGAATGTGGGCAAAATGGCAAATCATCTTCAATATTATGAATGAAATGCCAATTTTGTGTGTTTCTTCTATCATGGGCTGAATGCCCCTCGGGCCTGGGCCTGCAATCTATTAAGTTGGTTGGTGCTTAGTTGACCTAATTTTTTGTCTACATTAAACTAAATTCCTAGGGGATTGTTGTAAAATGTTATTGATAAAAACGTGACTAAAGTTTTTATGAAAATGTTGTCATGGTTGTAACATGTAATTGAATGTAATCATGGTCACTAGGAGTTTTCAAATTAGTCATTTTATACAAAATGTTATTCCCTCGGTCCCAAAAAGATAGTTACATTTAGGGATGGGCCGGGCCGAACCGGCCCGGAACCGAACCGGCCCGCTATTGTGCGGGCCCGGACCGGACCGGGACCGGTTGGCCGGTTCCGGGCTTTTAGCCCGTTTGGGCGGGTCGGGCGGGCCGGGCTTGGGCCCAGTTTTGGGCGAACCAGCCCGGGCGGTTCGGGCCGGGCCCTGGTCTTTTTTTTTCAATTTTTTTTTCTTTTCCTAGGCTAGGGCTGAGTGTTTGGGGTCTGGGGAGGTTTGGGGGGTGAGGGGGGGGGGGGGGGGGGGGGTCGGGGGATAACAAGAAAGCAAAAAAAAAAGACATTGAACCGGGCCCGGCCCGGCCTGGCCCGATTAGGCCCGGACCCGGTATCAACCCGGGCCGGGTTTCGGGCCCATGGATTTGCAAAAAAAGCCCGCCCGGGCCCGGCCCGGAACCGGAATCGGACCGGCTCGGGTCCATTTCTAGTTACATTTAGGGTTTGAAGTTTGACCGATGTTTGTAATCAGAATTAGAAAATTATAAAAGCAAATTTCTCCCTGACAATTTTCTAATCAAAATTAGAAATTAAAATTTACATTTACACACGCTACATTATACACTATAACTTTATAAAGTCGCAAAATTGAAATTCAAATATTATAAAATTTTGATATAGATATCAAAATGAATTGTGTTGATCAGTAAAAAGTGAAGTGTAACTATTATAGGATGGGTAACATATTTTTATCCATCAACTTGATTTTGATAGTTAATGAACTACTCTCCAAAGCCTCTATTCGTCCGGGAGTCTATGAACTACTCTCCAAAGCACCTAGACAGTTAAATCCAGATCTGATCACAGTCAGCCTTCGTCGGTATTGTTTCACAGGACGAATCCACCAGGACAACCTGACAACTGAATCCAGCAAGGTTCTCCCACAACGTGAACTCAGTAGGCTTGAATTTCAGGATGAATCCCGCAGGACAACCTGTCAACTGAATCTAGCAAGGTCCTCCCATCACGTGAACTCGGTAGGCCTGCATTTCCATCCCCTCTTCTTAGCCGTTGTGCAACTCAGTGAAGGTAGGAAGAGTCATTGGGAGCAAGACCTCCCTCATCTCCCCTATTTGTGCCTAGTGGGTTTTGAACCCGAAACCTCCACTACGCCCAGACGCACAGTAACCTCCCATCTAACGAGCTGGAATGCTTGGTTAAATCCACAATATTTGTGTCGGGTTTTCCGGTCTTTTGTGTCTTGAAATGTTTGTACCAAATGTTTATACCATACCATTTATGTGTCTCAGAATGATTCATCATTTACTAGTTAAATTTAAAGAAAAATACTCCCTCCGTTCCATTTAAAAATACATGTCTAGTATTCTTCGATCAACGTGAATTGTTTTTAATCTTTTACTTTATGTATTCAACTTTTATCAAATTTAATTTTTCTTGATCAAGTATTATAAAACTTTTAATGTAGTTTCTGAATATGAAAATTTTATTTACAAAAAATAATTTTATTAATAACTGAGATTAGTTAACTTTATGATCAATCAAACATCCTAAACCGCGTGAGAACCTTAAGTGGGGCACATGGAGTAACACGTCTCTATTTTCTTGTGTATCCTTTCATATTTGTGTCATATGTTTCATTTATTTGTCCATGAATGCTTTTATTGCAATGGAGTTGGATCATTGATTACACATTTTTTATGCAACCAGTACATGCGTGAAATAGTGATTAATTTCGACTATCATTTATTGCATCACATGGGAAACAAGAATTTGGTACAAATAATAGTTCAAATTTCTCATATTTCCAACTTGTACTTTTAGTACTTGTATTTCACTTATTTTTTTAAACTGAACACGTTCATTGACTAAATTTCCAATTGTGCTATCACAATTTATTTATTCAACAAATAATAAATATGTGGTCTTTCTTCTTCACAATCAAAAATAATAATCGAACCGCAAGAAAATCGAAACCAAACTCAAAAAATTGTACCGAATCGTAGTTGTTTGATTTCGGTTCTGGATTTCACATATTGAAATCGAATCGAACCGAACAAACCGAAATTTTTAAAACTTGCTATTTTATTTATTTATTTATCATTAAGTATAATATTATCTTTAGTTCTTAATTCTCAATTCTAGAAAATTAATGTTTGATTTATTATGATACTAGATTTATTATGTTTTGCAAGATATTGACATTTGATATTTATGGTTTAATTAAGTGAAACACTTGTGCATACACTTAATTATATCGCTATAACACTAACATGTTGATATTTTAAATCATAATTTACATTTTACTTGTTGCATGATAATGATATTTTGTTGATATAGTACAGAGTAATTGTTATGTATGTTTGTGATCACATAACTTTTTATATTGAACAAATATTTATTAATATAAACTATACTTTAAGTAACATAGCAGAAAACGTGAAACTTTATAGCATAAATATCTTTGTGTAAAAAGAAAGTAGAATAAGTTATTTGCAATCAATAAAAGTCTTTTAGTAAAAAGAAAATGAATTAGTGGACACAAATATACAAATAAAATTTAAACTTGCGAATACACTATGTATAATTGGCAAATAAACTTATGGCATTCAATTAATTTAGAAAATATTTAAATTGTATACACTCTCTAATTCATATTTTGGAAGTGCATTTGTTTCTTCTCTCATTTTTAATTATGTTTTTGTATTGTATTACTATTGATTATAGTTTGATTTTAGTTTATTTTTTTGTTTTTGTTTTCCAATAACTATTTTTTAATCCACAAAAATATTTTGGTAAAAACCGAAAAAACCGAAATCGGATTGAAATAAATCGAACCGAGCAAACCATGGTTCCATATTCTTAAGCATAAAACTGAAAAGAACCGAACCGAATTTTTTACTTAGGTTCGACATTTGGTTTTAGATGAAAATCGAACCGTTTGAACCGAACTCACCCCTATTTATAGGTTATACCTTTATGACTATGTAATTCGTCATGGCATTCTTTTAATGGTAGTTCTCTTGGTGAAATTCTATCTACAATAGGTGTGGATACACCGAATTTTGGTGAAATTCTATCTACAAGGGGTGTGGATACACCGAATTTGCTTGTGTACATAGATCCTTATGATCCACATATGAGGACACAAACAGAAAGACAACATAAGACATCCAAGTAAGGAACTTTAAAATTTGTTAAGAAACTTCATTTGAAGCATTCAAAAAGGGTATTCCACACTCCACAGTTTACACAAAATTTTCCTTCCCCTCTAGGATTTCTATTGAGTGAGAGGAACGCATTCCAGCTCAATCTCTAGGACACCCCTCTCAACATTCTGAAGCCTTATAGATATCTCTTGTTTGACCTTCCCCTCCACCAGCTTTATAATACTATCCCTCACCAGTGTGTTCTCTCTGCTTGCCTCCCATTTCCCCAAATGAGCAGCCTCGTCCGGACTTGAGGCCTCGGATGCTTTTGCAGCCACCACAAGTGGTTGAATGTCAATGTCAGCTTCCCCCATGAAATCGTCTGTCGTGAACGTGTCCTTATCGTACACTAGCTGCACACACAATCGTTCCACCACCAAACTCAACTTCATATCACTATATATTCAAAAAGAAATGAAAATGCTTCTTACCACTTTTAAAGGAGGAATAGTGTCTGGGATTGATAGCATCAGCTTCTCATTCCATACCGGGTTTAGATTGTTTTTTATGACACGCGTCTTCACTGACTGAAAAAAAACAAAACCCGACT